GAGAGAGAGAGAGAGAGAGAGAGAGAGAGAGAGAGAGAGAGAGAGAGAGAGAGAGAGAGAGAGAGAGAGAGAGAGAGATTATGTTACCCTCAAGTGAGGCCAGACAATGGTATCGAAGTAAAATAGTACATGGAGAGACCATCCCTCTCAAGTGGATTCAAAACACAACAGATATCTGTACATCTGTATGAGACTGTGCGTAATGTGAAATGAAAACATCATTGCAGCTTTACAGTTGAGAGTCGGCAGTCGAGAGTCGCAGCACTCTCAGACTGGCATCAGAAGACCAAAAAAACAGCTGAATAGACGTGTTCAGCGCCCTGTGAACTTGAACCGAAATCCAGGTGCCGTGCACAAATGACTTACGGGTCAGTGGCTTTTCCATGCACAACGGTCAGTTTCAACCTGCATTTCATACCCACGGTATCACATCTGTGATCACCCTCGCCAACCTAATGCTACTACATAGCTGATGATCCTAACTCGCGCTTTGTCATCTCTTCAATACTGAGAAATCCCCCTCGCTAGTTCCCGCGCCCCTGGAGGCATTATATTCAGGCCAATCCAGCAAGGAGACTTCCATCATATCCTCTGCTGTCAAAAGCTCCCGCTCATCCATGGTCACAAGATCACTCGTTGCCACACTCGGGAGAAGCAGGCTCTTCTCCTTCAAGTAGTCATGAGTCAATCTGTCAATCTGCTTCAAGCTACTCCCTATGTCAGGCTTTGTACCAGACTGGGCCAGAGCCGAGAACCGGTTAACTGCACCTTTGGCCTCCTCTTGTGCCCTGCTTCTCCTTTGTCGCTTCGGCTGTTTCATGCGTCCCGTCTTTCCTCCCCGCTCAAGCTCGCTTTGTCTGTTACTTCCGGCAACGGTTTCCCCTCTACTTCTTTTGCTCCTCCTCCTAAACACAATAACTGCACCCAAATCTCTCTTCATTTCACCCAAATGGCGCCATCCCTGAGACGTCCCACCGGAATCCTGCACAACGCGACCAAAAGTACCTGAACCTGCCTCAAAGAGGGTTTGAAGATAGGTCTGCCATGTGTGTGTATTACCTCTGCTACTGCTCCTCACAGCACCCCTTCTATCCCGCATGTTGAGCAGCTTCCTTTCTCCTCCCTCCTCCCACATGTTGCCAAGTTCCGTCATGCACACTTCATACTCCCCGGAGTTGTCATCCTTCTCAGGACACTGGGATGATTGTTTATGCAGTTGCTGTTGCTGCTGCTGCTGCTGCTGCCGCAGTCTTTGCTGCTTCCTCTCATAAATTCGAAGGCCCTCCTGCCCTCGACTTGCTTCTCCTCTCTCAGCAAGAACTAGAGAAGACTTGGCTGGCTCCACCTGTGGCATGCCCACCATACCTTGTGCACCTTCACGTTGGGCATCATCGAACACCGTAGGATCTGTAGGAGAGCGATCAGCTGGGGTTTCCATGGCAGCCGCCTCCTGTTCTTGATGGTTGACTGTCAACGCCTGACCATCTTGCATCATGGTGTCAAGAGCCCTAGATGGGTCCTCCATCCTTGCCTCTTCCTGCAGTACTTCTCCCTGGTTTTTCCCTCTCCTCCCACCTCTCCCTCTCCCCATCTTCCCTCCCGCACCAATACTTTTTGCTGGCTCCCCAAGCTGTGGTGCAGGCCCTGCTACTCCCGTGTTCACCACACCAGCAACCATGGGTACTTCCTTAGGTCGTGGTGGTGGTCGTTTTCTCCCTCTGCCCCTCCCCCTACCCCTCCCCCTTCCCCTCCCTCTGCTTCCATAGTGTTGCTCTGCAGGCACTTCCTTCAGTGCGGCGTCCTCCAACCTGTTCACAGGTTCTGCTTTCACCTCCGCAGGTGTCCCCTGCAACGCTGATATGGACGCAGGGTCATCCTCCTTCCCAACTGAATCCTTGTGTGCATCTCTTCTTCTTGCTCTGCCGCCTGCGCCCAGCACTGATTTCCCTTTTGTGCCCGAGGGCTCTGCTCCAATCTCATTGCGAGACTTGGCCTCTGTATACAGTGCCCTTGATGCTCTGGTCACTCGCCCCAGGCCAGTGCTTGCATCTTCTGCCACTTTCGACCTACGAACCACGGCCTTCCCATCCTCCCTTTTTTCTGCCTCTCCAGCTTGCTTTGCGTTCTTCGAGGTAGAAACCACAACCACCTCTCCTCCCTCCCTTTGTTTTGTCTCTTTCACTTCATCTTCGTTCTTTGAGGTGGTATCTGTTCCAGCCACCCCTTCCTTTGTGTATTCTGTCTCCATCGCTGCCTTCTCGTCCGCTTTCTTCATTCCAGCCACCTCTTCCTCTGTGTATTCTGTCTCCATCGCTCCCTTCTCGTCCGCTTTCTCCAACCTCTGTCTTTTCTGTCTTCCCCTCCGACCCCCTCTACTCGCCTCCTTTCGGCTGGGAGCTGCAGACAGTTCTCCCAGCCCAGCATCCGGTTTGTTGCCCACAGCTGGAGCCCCTCCCACAGCCGCATCAATCACCGTGCCGCCTAGCAAGCCTTGTTCCCCTGATACTTTCTGTCTCGACATTTTTGGCAACCTTCCTCTCCCTCTGCCGTGACCCCTTCCCAACCCGTCCTTATTGGGGATTTCTAGGGGCAGAGCAGTTGGCTCTCTGACCCCACCAACATCGTCCTTTGCCTCTGCACGTGATGCTCCTGGCTGTTCATCCAGGACGCTCGCTGACCTCTGCTGCCACGTTTCCTGCAGCTCAACCTTCTTTGTACCCCTTCCCCGCCCTCTCCCACCCGACCTTCTCATCCTTACCTCTGTATTGCTGATTGCTCCATCATCGTCGATCACTCTTCTCCCCTTACTCCGCAGTTCTCTACGAGCATCCCCATTTCTCAGAGCCCTTCCCGTCTCCATCTCCTCCTTTTTTTCTCGCTTTTCAAGATTCAAACCAGGCATGCGCAGCTCGCTCTGCCTTTCCTTGGCCTGGAACACCTGGCGATCAACACCTGCCATTCTGTCTGATGTCGAAACTGCAGCGCAAACAACATGCCACTCCCCATCAAGAACGGCACTAGATTTGACAGAATTGGCCCGCACAGGTGGATTGCCAGCATTTGCATTGGCATGTGCATGTGGTCTGCTGGCATCTTCATCTGCCATCTCAGCGTCCCCACGGGATCCGCAAATTGCAGATGAGTTGTGCCCTGCTTGTCCGCTTCCACTTATAACCCCTTCTTCTTCCACCTTTGTGTGCGCTTCTTCCCTCTGAATGCAACTTGAGCTCATTGCTTCCAACGTTTTTGGACCAGCAGTAGTCTCATCATCCTGCGGTACCTTCCAGGGTGCTCTGCTCGAGAGATCCTGCAAGGTTCCTGAGGCTCCTTCCAGCTGAGAGGAGCAAGGAGTTTTCCTTTTGTCTGATGAGAGCATATCAATTGCAACTGCCAGGCTATCGATTCCTTGTGGAGGAGGGGGAGGAAGTGAGGCAGAAACAATTCTTCCTCTGTCATTTTCAGAGCCCAAGTCACGAGATCCTACATTTTCAATCTGTGTGCTTGCAAGATATTTAGTTGGATCGACACTGTGCCCACGACCGTGTTGCTGGGGTGACTGTGGACCCGCTTCTCCTCCTGTGCCCCGCCCAGATCTCAGCGTGCTCCTTCGTCCAGCTACATCTACTTCACAAGATGGAGAGGCGGAGAGGGGAAGGCTCTCAGTGGCCACCGCCGTCTCTCTATGCAATATCAACGTGCTCCTATCTCCTTCACGAGATGGAGAGGGAGAGAGGGGAAGGCCCTCAGTGCCCACCGCTGTCTCTCTATGCAATATCCCAACTGTTGCTCTTGCCTCTGCATCGGTTACGCATGGATCACCTTCCCGTCTGTCTTCATTCACACTCTTCGCTACTCCACTTCTGCTTGCTCGCGTCTCACTACTGTCACGGTCCTTCTGCCTTCCAACAGAGAGAATGCCCCCTTCTTTCTCCTTCTGTGTCTGGGGAGGCTGTCTGTCTTCATCCACACTCTTCGCTACTCCTTGGCTTCCACTCGTGGGCGTCTCACTTATGTCATGGTCCTTCTGCCTTTCAACAAAGAGTATGGCCCCTTCTTTCTCCGTATCTGTCTGGGTAACCTCCTCGCTTACTCCGCAGTCGTGCTGGCTGTTGGTGCAGAAAATCCCCACTCCTTCCTCAAAGGCCACCCGACTGCCATCCTTCTCTGCTTTCTCCTTGTCCAACTTTTCAGATGACAGTGTCACCGCCGTCCCTCCTCCGTGCATCTTTTGTTCCCCACCCATGCTGCCTTCTTCCTTCATTGCCATCAGTTTTCCTTCCTCCTGCTCCCCTTTCGCTATGGCCACAATACTCTGCTGTTTTCCTGCTTCCTTCTCCTCTGCAGCAGTATCGTCCTCGACCATCGCCATCGCCACCATCTCTCTACTGTCGTTCTTAACGACTGATGTCGTTGCAACTCCTGCTTCTTCCTTCGGCTTCTGCAGGGAAGCAGGAAACACCACCAGCACATCTGCCTTCTGCACACACAGCGATTCGTCCTTGACCGATAAGCAACCTGTGGCAGCTCCTTGTGTAGGGGTACCCTCAGGTGATGTTGAACCGTCGACCTTGTTCTCAAACAAGCACTGCAATGTGTGTAAAGAAGATGATGATGATGATCCCTGTTTCTCACCATCATCCTGTCGACCAGCTGGCCTCTTTCTCACCTCTCCAGAGACTGAGGACAGATCCGGCACTGCGCCCTTCCTCTCCGTGCCCCTGTCAGTGTCTCCACCTGCACTAGCAGGATCAACATTCCTGGGATACGTCGCAGAAAGTAGAGCCTCTCCATACGGCAATGAAGAGGCATGGATCTTATCACTTTCTCGGCCACCCCGTTCCTCGTCTGCTTGTTCGCCAGTCTTCGGTTCACATCGTCCTCCTAATGGGGAGTCGTTCTCGGATCTGTCTTCAGAATCACGATTGTGGACACCCATCAACAAGCGCCCATACGATGCTGGGCTCTTCTCTTCGGGTTGCAGTTCCAGTCGAAGTGATGCATAGGTGCTTAGGTTCCCCCCTCCTTCCCATAGGGCAGATTCGCCCTCCACCGTCTCCTTTTCCTCCTGCAGCTGCTGTCGGCTTCCTCTCAACTGGAGATCTTCCGCTTCAGGGACTACAACACCACCATCTAGCTCGCTGCACAAGGGATCAGGACTCAATCTGCCAGGCTCTCCGTCGTCAGGTTGCAATTCTAATCGCAGTGGAGCTGCATCGGCCATATTTGGTCCTTCCTCCCTTGCCGATTCTCCACCCTCTGCCTCCTCCTCTTCTCTCAAATGCTGGTCATCATCATGCCTTGGCAGACCGCCACCAGAAGTAGATTCCTGTGCGTTCCGGCCCAACAGGTCACCGCCACACGCACCGCCACTCCTCTCTGTTTCAGCTCCCTTCCTCTCACAGAGCTGCTTTCCCGCCAAGTGGCCACGGGTCTTCCCACCAGGAGCCGTCTTGCCATCAGAAATAGTCTTCTCGTCAACAAACACCCTTGACGGCATTTCCTCGGTCCCCTCCACCGCAACGGGGCAAAGAATGCCCACTGCTATAGCAGCTGAAGAGCATCCAGGTATTACTCCCGCCTCTACCTCCTCCTTGGGAACACCGCCTAAGTTGGCCTGATCTTTCCTAGGGATTTTTCCCACCGCTATTCCTGTAAATGCCTCGTTTCGTGGCGTGCCAGATACCAAGTCAATTACTTTCGCAGTGTCCCACGATTGCCCATCCTTCTCCATAACCTCCTCCCTCTCCACTGCCTTACACGCAAGAAGACCATTCCCCCCCTCCTCCTCGTCACGAACGTCCGATTCATTTGGCTCCATACCCACACCCGTTCCCCCGTTATCAGACTCCCTTGTCTTCTTTGTTTCACCATCGTCGGCTCCTTCTCCTTCTTCTGCTTCTTCTGCATCTTCTCCTTCTGCTTCTTCTTCTTCTTCTTCTGCTGCTGCTGATGCTGCTGCTGCTACCCCTTTTGGTCTTTCTTCCAGCCCTTTATGTTCCGGTTCCACATCTTCAGGTGAATGTCGTCCACTTGTTGTTGTTGGGTCAGTCTCTACAAGCCCATATCCACGTCTCACCTCCTCCCCCTCCTCCTTCTCCTCTCCCTCTCCTCGTGGTTCCTCCATCTTCGTGTCTTGCAATTGACCCTCGGTAGACTGCGGCTTTTCTTCTCGCTTCTTGTCCACTCCGTCATCCTTCTCCACGCCACTGGTTATCAAGTCTTTTTTCCCGACATCGCCACAGCCATACCCGTCACTGCTAAACAAGTCCGCTAACTGCAAACCATCCGTGTCTGCCACGTCCATTACCTCCGCACACTTCTGCCGCTGCCGGCGATCATCTTCATCGGCCCTTCGTCCTTCCTCATCCTCGCCCCCCTTCTCTCTACCATGTCCCTCCATGTCACTTCGATCGGCGAAAGCTTCTTCCCAGGATACCTCCATCCAGGCTGACACTCCCTGCGCCTGTCCCTCCCCCGCTGACACTCCCTCTCCATAACGCGGGCCCACCACCAGGTCTCGTCCCTCTGAGCGGCCGTAAGTCGTTGGGAAAAGGGCGGGGGATCCCACCACCATCGCTTCTTCAGTTGCACCCACCGGAACCTCCTCCACACTCCTATGCTCTCTCCCTTCCTCAAGACTCAGATCCACGCGGGTAGACAGTCCCGTTTCCTCGCCCCGTGCCACGTCGGCTCCATCATCCTCCAAGCACAGAGAGAAAGGCATCACCGGGAGCGTCATGCCAACCCCATCTTCTTCCGCACGGCCCTCGTCTCCAGCGAGATCCGTCAAAAACCCCACATCTCCCTGGATGGGAGAAGAAGGGAGGGAAGTTTCGCCTCGTGCCTCCCTTCTTATCCCCTTCTTCTTCTTGTCCACGCCGCCAAACAGATGCTGAGCACCCCGTCTCTCCCGCGATTCCTTTCCCGCTAATCCTCCTCCCCCTCCCCCTCCTCCTCCTTCTTCGACCACCGATTCCACCCCCTCTTTTCGCTTGCCCCTCACCCCTCCGTGAGTCAAGCCCGAGGCCTCTTTTCTCGCCGGGGTGAGAAGCATTACCTCCCCACCCCCTTCGCTCCTCTTTGGCGTCTCATCATCGTCCACGACCACCGATCTGCTGCTCCTGCGTGACGTCTCTCCCGACCCTTCTTCCAACCGCTGAGGAAGACGGACAGACACAATCTGTGATGAGGATGTGGTGGTTTTCACCACCTCGCTCTCATCATTCTCCCACTTCCCTTCGACGGCCGCAGAAGAACCAAGCACATTCCCGCCGACGAGCGAGTCCCGTGAGCGCAGGTCCATGGATCCGCCATCTCCAGCCGTTCCTTCCTTATCTTCCCGCTCATTGGACTCCCCCCCCCCTCCCTTTCCTCCACCCAGACCGCTGATTTCAGACCCTACCATCTCCCCCGCGTTTCCCTTTCCACGGTTACGATCAAGCTTCCACACTCCTCCCGACTTGAATATCCTCACTTTCATTGGCTCCGCCTCCTCGCCAGGCTGCTGCTGCTGCTCATCTTTCTCCGCATCCTCGTTCCCGCCATCAGTTCCCCCCCCCCTGCCAACCACCTTATCTCCTCCCCTTCTCCCCTCCCCTCCTTCACTCATCACGCTCTCTCCTTTCGCTCTCCTGGAATCCATAGCCGCAGTTCTGTCGGCACTGCCGAGGGTGGCAAGAGCGGCCACATCTACTACGACGCTGCTCCTCTCTCTCTCCTTTGCGCGGGCACTCTGTCTCGACAATCCTCGGGCGGCGACATCGCTACGTCCGAGGTCTTCATGGCAGGACCCTTTCCCTTTGCCTCCCCTCCCCGAGGTATTGGCCAGCCATCGCTCCGCGTCCTTCCTCGAAGGTGTCACACCACTCTCGTCCCCTACCCCTCCTCCTCCTCCTCCTCCTACCCCTTCAGAGTGGCACTGGCGGGCGACCCAAGCAAGCCCAACTCCGGTGTCATGACCGGCACGGCCTGCAGGATGATCACGCTGGTCTAACTGTACCTCCTCCCCCCCCAGCTCACTGCCGGTAATGGCCCCCACCCCCTCTCGTCCAGCACCACTCCTACCAGCAGCAGCAACCATACACCTGTCTCTTATACACATCTAGATGTGTATAAGA